AAGATAAGCTTGAGCAAGGACTAAAGTTAGAATCAGAAATGCTAGACATGAAACTATAAGAAATGCTACTGCTTGAACTTCTGTAACTACTTGATTGCAAAATATTTAAACTGAAGATTAACTCATCTACACAGGAGCTGATGCTACTGACTGAACTTTTGATAAAGGAACTTGAAGCTGGACTTGAGCTGTGAAGTGATTCATTGACACTAGAACTGCTATAGCTGGAGATGCTTGAAATTGAACTATAATCTGGCAATATAATTACATTGCCAGTAGCTTCACTGTCACCTGAGAATGCCGAAAGAGATGAACTGCATGAGGTGAAGCTTGTATAATTATTGTTTCTGGATATACTAGAGCAAGAACATAATTCTAGTGTGCTAAGATGACTGGAACTTGAACCATAAGGACTGATGCTTGAACTTCTGTAACTGCTGGATTTCAAAGTACTTGGGCCAAAAGTGAACTTATCTGAGTACGATCTTAAACCTGAGAAGCTGGAGATACTAGGCCCAGAGACTGCACTTCCAATAAAACTACTGGAGACAGAACTGGAGCTACAACTTAATATATTGATAAGAGGATAACTTGAAGGTGAACTACAGAAAGAGCTTTCTGCAATGCTCTCTGATGATTGTCTATCACCTAGGCTAAGTCTTCTATTATTGCTATTGCTTGAGATACTTGAGGAAAAACTGTAGAGTGAAGAGTTGATTGCACTGTCAGATAAGTCACTGTTTTCTGAAAATACTGAAATTGATGAACTACATGACCTGAGGCTGCTGGTTTTTGAAAAAGTGTTACATGAGCTTGTATAACTACTACTTGAAATGCTTGTGCAGAGACTAAATTCTGGGCAAGAAATACTGAGACTGGAACTTGAAGAAAAACTACAAACTGATGGTTTACTTTCAACTATGCTTGCTTTGCTACTGCAGCTAAAACTGGAGATACTTGAGCAAAAACTATAATCAGGCGAGAGAACCAGCCCCTCAGATATTTTTGAAAATGTTGAAATCGATGAACTACTAGAAGCTGAACTTTGAATGCATGGAGGAGCATCACTTGAGCTTGTGTAATAGCTACTACTTGAAATGCTTGAGCTAGAACCTAATTCTGCTACACATGGGATGGGACCCGTCAAGCTGCAGGAACTAGGAATTCCATTAGAAGATGAACTTGCACTACAGGATTTCTGATCGTTGTTATTTGTTAACTGTTTACTGTCTGAGCTTGATAAAGAAGCACTTGAAGTCGAGGTTGGCCCTAAGGTTCAGGAATACATGTAGGTCAGTAACTACATATCAAAGAATAGTGGATGCTGGAAAAATATTAATGATAAATTACCAATACTGATACTTAAAAGTAAGGATTCACAAAGCACAAGACTGTGTGCATGAATATGTGTGTGTGTGTGTGTGCATGTGCATGTAATCAAGTGTTTTTTTTATTATTATTTAATTCATTCATAAAATTATTTATTTTTTTTATATTTGAACATTAGATGTGGACTTAGGTGGGTAATGAGTGAGAAACCAAATGTTTAGTTATACTTACTATTAACAAGCAGTTTTACTGAAGTGTATGATGGATTTTTATGTTTATTTTTCCTTTTTTTTTGTAAATAAATGTATTTTTTTAATGAACTTCAACTGAATATATGATCATTACAGAATAAGGCATACAACTTTACCATCTAGATTTCATACAGTATTCTTTTTTGAAAAATTCAAATCATATTTAGAGTACTTACCACTTGAGCTGGAACTACTTGAGCTAGAACTACTTGAACTTGAACTACTAGAACTTGAGCTACTTGAACTTGAACTGCTCGAACTTGAGCTTGAACTACTCGAACTAGAGCTTGAACTGCTCGAACTCGAGCTTGAACTGCTCGAACTCGAGCTTGAACTGCTAGAACTAGAACTTGAACTGCTTGAACTTGAGCTACTTGAGCTTGAACTTGAACTACTAGATGAACTGCTTGAACCTTGAATATAAATAAATATGTTAGAATTATGGTAAACTTAAGTTAAATTTGTTTTCATGTAAAATTATTTGATAATTAGTAATTTCAAAACAGAATAATAATGATCATTATAAATTTACAACGTATATTCCAAATATAAGAAAGAAATATATTCTGAAACCAAGAATATAACTGGATTATGTTTACATGTAAGATAAATACTGGTAAACATTATTCTGAAAACCCTTTTAAACAGCTTTGCACTTAAAAATTAATAATATAATGTTTAAGTCACCTCCGAGACTCTGCAGCACAAAATTGATAGAATATATATTTTAATATCTGCAAATTAAAAACCATTACACATACAAACACACATATTCTTGTTTTCAAAGAGGCGGGGCTTTCATGGTTAGCCTATCACTTGGTAAAAGTAAACCCAGCAGATTTAACGTGGCCAAAAAAAGCAAGATGAAAACACAAACAATGTGTAACTGTACAATATACACATTGAAGTGCGCAGCCTTA